AAATGAGAAAAGTTGTCAAACCAAGAAAATAATGCTAGTGCCAGATAACTTCATAGGCAGACTACCTGCATACTTTGGCCCCCAACAAAGCTGAGACTCCAGAAATAAAGAGAAAAATGTTTTTAAGAGGTTGACTGGGCAGGTGTGGTGGCTCATGCCTGTAATCCCAGCACTTTGGAGGGCTTAGATGGGAAGATTCTCTGAGGCCAGGAATTTGAGACCAGCCTGAGCCCAGGGTTTGAGGCGGCAGTGAGCTATGATCACACCACTGCATTCCAGTCTAGGTGACAGAGCAAGACCCTATCTCAAAAATTAATTAATTAAAATAAAAACATGGTGAAATAAACTGGCTGAATAGCTATAAAACTAGATCATGAGTTTATCAGCATTCCAGTAATTACCGGCATTATTTTTAGCATTCTCCGGTGTACAATTAGATTATGCCAGTTCATCAGCCTGATTTGTCATGGTCTTGCAATTTGTAAGCTAATGCCTCCTTTACCTTTACAAATTTCCAGATACGCTTGTTTTCTACCAATTTATCACTTTGACCTCTTTGTTAATTCACACAGTTATTTCCTGCTAAACCATTTGGAGCCAGTAAGAAAGCAACCAGAAAGTTTGGAACATGGGAGAAGGAAATAAGAGATAGATGGAGTCAGAGAGAACAAATGGGAGAGGCAAGACCAAAGTGATCCGGATTAGGAACAAGAAAAAAATATGACAGTTGTAAAAACTGACAGAAGTTCTAAAAATGAAATGAATAGAAATGACTTGGGAAAATCCTAGCAAAATCTGATGTTTACCCAGATTGTGTCAGCATGGTCAGGCCTCAAAATGATCAGCCTTTGGATTATGTTTTACATTTGTTGAACTTCTTAACATGAATTATTTCTGTAAAGATGGAACTATATTAGTTTCAGATCTCACTCTGCCATACATAATCTATAGGAATTTGGTCAAATTACTTGACTGCTCTGAATCTCAATTATTTTCATTTCTAAAACAAGAATATAATGTCCACCTTGTAGGATTATTGCTGGTATTTGTGAAGTTCCTGACATGGTGTCCTTGGCACCTAGTAAACAGTCATTGTTGCTCTGTGTAATCTATAAAAAGGAAAGTTTGGTTTTTTTTATTTGTCTTTTTTTAATTTTACTTTATTTTAAATTTTTTTTAAATTTTATTTTGAATGGGGCAGGGAGTGAGGTTCAATTCCTTGTTTTTTTTTTTTTTTTTCACACAGTTTCTCACTCTGTTGCCCTGGGTAAAGTGCAGTGGCGTCACTGTAGCTCACTGCAACCTCAAACTCCTGGGCTCAAGGAATCCTGCCTCAGCTTCCCGAGTATTGGGGACTGGGGACTATAGGTGCGTGCCATGACACCTGGCTAATTTTTCTATTTTTAGTAGAGACGGGGTCTCACTTTTGTTCAGGCTGGTCTCAAACTCCTGAGCTCAAGCAATTCTCCTGCCTCAGCCTCCCAGAATGGGAGGATTACAGGCGTGAGCTACCTCACCCAGCCAAAAGGAAAGTTTAAAGCCACAGATACCCTAATTATAAATTAGCCTTTCTTCAGTGGGTCAAAAATGTTCTTATCACCGTTAGGATAATCTTGATCTATAGTACTTTTGTATTTAAAATAAAAATTGCATTACTGACATTTTTCAAACTGACTTTTCCCTCATTGTGTAAAAGAATTGTGTTTTTGTAATTCTCAAAAGAGAACTAAGGGTAGCATGTGCTTTTATTAAAGTAATACTTCATGAAATATTAGCTGTGTAGATTTTAAGTTTAGCAATAATTTTTTAATTCTTTTTTTTTTTTTTTTTTTT